GAAGCAACGAACCACAGGAACTGAGACATAAAAGCTAAAAACACCTACTTTCAGGTAGACGGAATTGTATAAAAAATCAAACTAAAATGGCTGATTCGATTTAGTTAAACAATTTAAACACAGATATATCCACAGTGTCTCATATTAATCCATAAAAAAAAACTTAAACCTCTACCTACGAGTGACCAAGGATACTGCATGACGCTGCATGCTAAACCTACGTTACCTCAAGCAAATCTAAAGAGATAAGCAGTTGGGAAGGTTACATAAATCTGTCAGTACAGTGTCAGTAAATTTGATGTTATCGTAATTCGAAGTTAACTATAGAAGATTATACAACGAGAATAAGGATGTAAGTCACAATGAAGAATAAATATGATATATTTGGTGTATTTTATTTTGTTTTGTCATAAACTGTTCAAAAGTTAGCTTAATTTATTTTAGCAGCAAAAAAAAAAAAAACAAAAAAACAATCCAAATTAAGGTATTTCAATGTTTTAAGAATTTAGTTTAATCACTGGCCTTGATAACTTTTGCTGACTACCCAGTTGCTTTAAATGACAAGTGGGAAGCACATTCTGAAAAACCCTCCAGGGCTCTTCTCCCCTTCCCGCCCCTCCTCCTGGGTCTGTTCCACTCTTTTTTTTCCTTCGCCCCTGTACTTTCGACAGAGAATAATGCGACATAATACCATGGCAGATAGCGCAAGATTTACATGACAAGACACATTTTAAACAGGCGATGTTAGTCTTCAGAAATATTGTATCTACTTCCAGCGTTAACGTGTATAGAAAAACAGACAAATCCGCTGTCTGACTCCCAGAGAATTATTTATACCCCCCCCCCACACCGGATTAAAGCATACAACTGTTAACTATATATTTTTAAATACTAGATTTATCTATTTCTAAACGGAAAATGACTTGTTAATATCTATACCAACACATTCTTAGCGTGATAATCATTTCTTGTAGAATGAATGTATCTCGATGATTTGTGAACTAGAACAAGAGAGACACACCTGGGTAAATTATATCAGTATAACATAAACTAACGTAAATTTTACGCACATTTTTTACAAGAATGTGATATTTTTCTTTGTTTGTTGTCAAGCGCTAATCTACATAATGGGCTATTTGTTGCTGTGCCCACCACGGTTATCGAAAGTCGATTTTTAGCGTCATAAGCCCAGAAACTTGCCACTGGGGTACAAATGTGACATGAATTCATGTACACTCATTCAACATAAAGTAAATAGAAAATTTCCTGTATCATGTTGATGATTCATACAGGCTTTTTACACATGTACCGGACTTTGTTCTGAAGCACGTGGAAGAGAATTACTAACCGCTGAACTATTCTGGAAATAAAAAAGGCCCGGATTTAAGAAACACATATAAAACACTATGCTCTCTTCCCGCATAAATTTCTAATGAATATTAGAAGAAACAAATATAAGATAGATATAATTTGTACAAACATTCTTACTGTGCTAGTAAAAGTATATCTTAATGATCGTCTGTCTATACTCGAGGACTTTATCAGTATTCAAGCCTGACAGACCAACAGAAACCATAACCATGAGTTCTAGCAGGAAAGGCTCACAGGAAACACTTTTACCTGTTCACTAACTGGCCGTGGGATCATACCCTGCATGGCTGCCACTCCGGAACAACTACCGGTCAAACTGCGGATTTACCTCCGCTTGCACCGAGTAAGTTGCGGGAGAGGGTAACAGGTACAACGCTTAACAGCCAAGTGCTCAAATCAGAACACAGCAGCGCGAAACATGGCTCCATTGTAGAGTTTCCCGCCAAATAAAAACGTAGGGCATTCTACTTCCCCACTACATTCTAGAAGTGAAGAAACAGACTACATGGGCTTTATTAACTTTACTCATTTTGGTTTCGAACGTATTTTTTATAATTGTTGAAGATATAGTAATGTTTCTAATACCATTGTGTAGTTGTTATAAAACAAAGGATAGAATAATGTTTCCTAGTACCACTGTAAAATTGAGGATATGATAATGTTTCCTAGTACCACTGTAAAACTGAGGATATAGTAATGTTTCCTAGTACCACTGTGAAATTGAGGATATGATAATGTTTCCTAGTACCACTGTTTATTTATTGTGAAATTAACTCACGATTGAATATCCTGATTTTACAACATCTATAATTTTGAGTCCTGGGAGCGCCATATGACTGATGATCAAATCCTACAATTCGGTCAAAGAAGACTAGTCAAACTCAGTCTCAACGAAACTGCATCTCTCTAGTCTATCAGTTCAAAATTTGGGATTGTTATTCGCAGATAGCCCTTTGTGTAGCTTTGCACGAAAATTCTGAAACCAACACACGTTACTCGATGCTCGGTTTTAAAGGTAAAAGAAAATCAGGTATAAAATACAGCAGTGACCAGTAATATGAAAAACACACATTTATACACATTTTTTGAAATCTATCATACAGTATATTACACTCTCACTTTGTGTGTACTCTGGTAGGCGAGTACTGTATTCGGAACCAACAGTGTGAATATTACCGTGATTTCCTAATGCAATGAAGTCATTGCAGTAAGCGAAACTGTAAGTTTCTTAGCAAAGGAAGTGATTATTGTCATCGGGATCTTCTAAAGCCCAGTTTGTGTTAGCAAGAAATTGCCACACGCCCAACCAGTTCTCTCATCATGACAGGATTTCCGTTAACTTTCGGGTAACTTCGAGACTTCTCGTAATGATGTATCATATGCTTTAGTTAAAAAAGAAGTAGAAACCAAGCCTTCATATAGTGTGTGTGCTATACAGAAAGTTTAAGTCACGTGATGCTGGGAGGCTGCAGGCAGTTTACCCTCCCACTAAAAGTGACTCAAAGCTAGTGTGAAAGGGCCGACGTCCCTCATACAAAGTGCACTGGAGTGAGACAAGGTTTGGGATCTACCAAAGATCGTCTACCTGCTGCCTTATGATAATGTAAAGGCCTTCGGGTTTCCTGACCAGCTGGATCCTTCATTCAGCATGTGCTGATTGTGTGTGTGTGTAAAAGCTCTTGATTTCGCATTTCCCTCCACATATCTTCCTTTATCCCCTGTCCAAAATATTAACAAATCAGCAGATCTTTTTCTTTTCTTCTAAGCCTTGTAAAGAATATAAATAAACATCTCTACATCCTTTCACAAGCACAAACACGGTACACCAGAATACATATCATATGGAAAACCAGAAAGCTTACTCTTCAAATGAAGCTTCTTTTTTTTGCATACAGATCACGTATTAGATATGGCAGGTTCTTTTCTTCTATATACAGCTAACATGTATTCACCAATCACAGTGATTTTTTTCTAAATTGGCAATTTCTTATTGCACGTTTGCAAATGCATCATATGTTTATATTTTTTCTAAACTTTTCCTTAAAAGAGGTTCCACTTCATTTGGAAATGTTCTAGCAGATGGTAACTGCTGGCTTTACGAATTTCTTTGTAAAACCTTGACAGTCAAATTATGTCTACAGAGTAAGCCAGCGATATTCTCACCTATGTCCTAAACACCACCTGTCGGCAGTTATTCTAGTGGCAAGATGCTATTTACTTGTTACTTGTGCAAAAGAATTGCCAGTCAATACCTACCAAGACTTGTTAACCTCCCCCAACAATAGACGTCCACAACAATGAGAGCTCTTGGGGTCAAGGTTAATCTGTAGACTTCAAAGCGTCTCATTTTTGTAAAATGCGGTTATATTACACACAAACATATGACCCACTTTACTGTGCTCCTCCACCCAATACGCTTTACAAAAAAAAAAATGTTATTCAATTCTTATTAGAAATACTAATAAATAAATAACAAAATATTATTGATGAGCGATGTCGTACTTTTTTAAAGTCAGTGAAACTCAAATGTTTACACATACTGAAAACCTGCGGCTTAAACTGAAAACAGCACGAAATAAATATAAACAGTGGCAGAAATAACTAATAAAATATCACCATTAAAAGCATTAATAACTTACCATGACTATTGGGAAAGTTGGTTTTTCACAGATTTTGAAACTGTCGTTCGTTGAATCTTTGTTGCGGGTGAAGTACCCTTAGTATTGTAACTTGTGGAACTTTTAGTTGAATGTTTTCTCTTCTTCAAGTATTCTGTTTTAAAATAATAATATATTGGTCATGAAATATCTGAGTTTGGGAAATAATTAGATATTATTAAAAAAAGAACGAATTGTTTAGAAGTATCAAGATTACGAACTACAAAAAAAGGTCTTAAAGGAAATCAAATAAAATTGTGTTGCCCTAAAATAACTTCAGCTTTAATACTAAACAACTGCAAACACAAGAAAGTTTGTGATGTACTCACTCTAAACGATTAGAAAGCAGCACCTCAGATAGCAAGTGGAACTGATAGAATCTCTATGTGGCACCCATGTCTTCTCAATCTAATAGATCTGAACCGGGACAGCAGTAGCTAATTCACAAGCTTCTGCTCTTAGCTACTAGCAGAGTTGTTACACCTGACACAATGAGTCAAGCATTTGTCCCCTTAATTGCACCCAGATTTAAAAACAATGCTTCTTATGGGAAGCCAAGTCTATTTAAGCGTGTTTCTGCTACTGGTTTGAGTTTTAAGGCTATTCAATAGTTTCTGTGTTTGCCCTTATATCCGTATAATTTCTAAAATGAAGATAAAATTTAAATCCGTTGGAAAAGCAAGAATTTCTTTTCAATAAAGACACCACAAAGTACAGACTACAGGGGCTTATTCAATATTCTAACTGTTTGAAAAAATCCAAAGGCTTGAGATGGTGATGATGTCATTACTGTCTACACGTTCTGTTGTCTGGAGCCATTCTTCCTGAAACGTCGGTGTTGAAAATCCTAAAATTGTCAAGCAACGAGAAAATGAAATCGATGTACACCCCAAGTAGAAATAGATCTTCGACAACAGCCTGAGTTCTGACTTCACGATCTCTAGTTTGAATCTAGGAACATTCTGCTATCAAACCAAAGAACCACAGTTTTAATGGTGGCCCTTGTGTATAAATGGGCATCATATCTAAATTATACAAGTAGTTCTAGGCAACAGTTTCCTTCATCTGTGAATTATATATATATATATCGTTTGTTTGTAGCCTTTAGGCCAACAAAAACAGGTTTAATTGTCGTTACCCGCATGCACTGTTGCAGACTTTTATCCAAGTCTAATAGTCTCTTCATTTGTCATGTTCATTTATCCAGACCTTGAACTTATGCTGTTTTAAATTCAAACCACATAAAACAGCACAAGCTCAACAGTGAAGACCCCAGGCTACCAAGATATACTTTCTATATTACACTTGATCAAAGTTTTTAGTCCAATAAAAAAAAATGAAGAGGGAGCTAGCAATCAGATCATTAATCTAACGATGTGAAGTCTTGGTGACTGTTTTACTGCAATCTACCAAGCTGGTTACGGAGTCAGTAACTTAAAATAATTTACAAAGAAACAAACACGTTCCACCAATTTAGTAAGATTACGAAAAAATGAGAGCCTTAGGGAAGTTTGTGAATTTGATGTGGTCCCTGACAGCATGGCGCCAAGCTACGGGCGAGAAACATCAAGATAACGACTAGCACTAGCACAGGTTGTTATTTGTTCGTAACGCCTCGACACACTTCGATGAAATCGTGTGGCCAAAAACAATTAGGCCAAGACTAACCCAGTGATCAACTATTTCTCATCAGATTTACTTTTCAGCTAACAAACAGTTCTAGATTTAAAAAAGTAGCAGATAAAGTTGCCAAAAGTTTGACCAGGAATAAACGAAAGAATCAGACTTGACAAACAAAGACTTCAATCTGAATACCAGTAACAGAATTGCGTAACTACGTAAAAAGAAAACAATGAACAACTACATCATATTATTAAGCCATAGTAAACTCTAATCTCATGATCCCCCAGTGGCTCAGCGGTATGTCTGCGGCCTTACAACGCTAGAAACCGGGTTTCGATACCCGTGGTGGGCAGAGCACAGATAGCCCATTGCGTAGCTTTGTGCTTAACTTCAAACAAACAAACTAATCTCATGAATTAAGAAACGTGTGGAAAAGCTGTTTTTTTTTTACAATTAAGTACAAAGCTGCACAATGGGCTATCTGTGCTCTGCCCACCACGGGTATCGAAACCCGATTTATAGCATTATAAGTCCGCAGACATTCCGCTTTGCCACTGGGTGGCACGCTGTTTGTACTTCAACAACAAAGAACAAGGCTGCGTTTGGGGTCGAAATCTTAGTTTGTGCATTATTATTACAATGCAGCATCAATAAAATAGTTCTATTTTCGCCCCCTACACCGTGAGGAGAGCTGAACAGAAGCGCCCTTTCCGAGACGTGATGAGGCTTAAATATAGTGAATTCTACGTCTGTCCCTCACAACACGAGAACAGCCGAGTTTCTTCAATGCTAACTGTGGAAATAGTCTCACGACCATCATCCACGTAGCACCTTGGAACTAAAAATGATAAGTTAATAAAATGAAACCAACAATGTTGTGTTATAATTCCCCCCGTACAAACATGATATTTAAATGGCTTTAATAAAATTAATAATAATTATAATTTATAAGCTGATTCACGCTATAATAGTCGTTGTTCGTGAAAATTGGTGATATATATATATATATATCGCACCTAGACCATTAGTGTCTACAAGCAAAAGTTCCTGACCACCCCGGGTTGTCTTTTAGGCTCCAAAATCTTTTTTGAGGCTTGAAAGTTTTTTAAACCTAAATTCCTGTCACGAATTTGATGATACAATGTCTATCGTATCCCAGGTGGCATGATGAGCCCTGGTATTAGAGGAAAAGCCTTGTCGGCACTGGATATAACAGATGTAGTATGGTTGATATATTACAAAATACTCTCCTTTGCTTTAACCCACGAGTTTTAAGAATTAATGGTCGACATAAACACTAATAAAAATTATTGGAAAAACTTTAGTTCAAATTAACATTCACTGAGCACAGAACAGAAAAGTCGTCAATCTTAAGCTTACAAAAACAAATAATTTTTGTCCGGACAGTAAAAAACACTAGTAGTTCGCTCTAAGAACCTGGCTCTAGTTACTAATGAGGTAATTGCTCAGATTTTAATAATTGTATCAATGTAAAAGCAGATGCAGGATAATAATATACAGTGAAAACTGTCGATAATTTAAAAATCGGTAAAAGTTCATGCTGTTTGGGGTCACACGAACTCACTGGCACCAGTCTTGAAGGCTAGTCGCTACAGCTAAGGAAAGTAGCGTTATCTGAGACAGTATACACTTCACGTATCTCTAATAAAACTGGTTGTAATGCCCTTTAGGCGTAGCTCTTGCCACGTGACACTAAGAGGATGCCTTGTGATAATTTCAGTTCAAGCTGTAACTTGTCAAGACGTGTGGATTCAATATCAGATAAAGCAAAGTTTTTCAAGTAAGCAGCATGCAACGTGGACTAGAAAACGACATCAAAAATCATGTATGTTTTATTAACTGATAAGGTTTAACTTATATAATTATGTATCTTAAAAGCACAATGCTTTAATAGTCTAAATTTCTAGAAAATATACTAGCATCTCCTAAAATAATAATTAAGAAACTAATTTATAACACTCAAAATTCTCAAGAAAAAAAATATATAATGTGTTTCTCCTATTACATTATACATAGACTCAGTGACTTTGTTTTCAATAATCATATGACGTCAAATTTTGATGTTTAAGTTGGTAACCTGGTGGTAAAAGATTATATGTGAGTTCGACAGCTAACCGCTTGGGAATTACTCTTATGTAACAATTCGCACTTGGTTAAGAAAGTGACAAATGTGTTGTTGTTTTTTATCTCTTCTTAATCAATACAAATTAACAGTTATTAACATTTGTAATAGAAACCGTGTAAAACGCAGATAATTTTTCTTCTTGTACCTCATTCCTCTTAAGTTGCTCATTTCGTCCTTTAAACGTTTTAACGTTGAAAATTATTAACATTATTAATTTATAACAAAGCTATGGGTCAAAGTTAAATACTGCAGAAATGGAGAGTAGAAAGAAAAACAAAATACACTTTTTAAAAAAAAAACTAAAGAAAAATATAAAAAATAACTGTTATGAAAAAAACTTAAATGAATAAATTCTACGAGTCACAACAAACCCTAACACTGACTTGTAAGAGATAAGTATAGGAAAGACAGTATGCCCTATCCATTAGGGGCTAATAATCAAAATAGAATGTTTGTAAAAAAAACGTTTCACAATGTATGAAAAAATATACAAAGATACGATAGTGACCTATTGAATAAGCATTACAAAAATTTAACACTTCATAGTGACAGCAAATTCGTTAAGACTGAAACAAACGTAAAATCAAGTAAACGATTTTTATTACCATTATTTCAAATGAGGTACTAGTAGGTAAGCGATAATGATTCTATTTTAATTTGTTTAACGGAATAAGAACGATAGCATTGGTTTCTAACTAAACCAAGCACTGATCAAAGCTATATTTTGCATGTAATTTAGACATTAAACATCCTGGCATTTCTATCATGTACAATTAGGGAGAGTAGTATTACTACACATTAAAAGAGAACATCCACACCTTAACAATTTTTATTTCTAACAAAGGCTGTTTTAAATATGGGTCATATTTTTAATAATGCGCCCATCCTTCTTAAATATTTGGGAAATTTAGTTATTCCAAGCTACACAGATATTTACCAGTTCTATGTATTTAAAATGAATACTTTTTTTTAAATAATATGAAACAGCACAATGCTAAGCGTTTGGTAGTTAACACAGGTCTTTTAAATCACATGATGTATTTATTTTTACATTCCTCTATTGGCAAGTAAAAATAACTCAAGACGCTTAACTATGCATCTTTAATTTTACTCTATTTATTCAATTTATTTATTTTTCAACATTTGATCTTGCTAAAATCAAGCCAAAAGTATTATTTTAATGGTATTACTGTAGTTTTTGTGAGATGTGTAAAGTTTTGCTTTTTTTGCCGAAAGGTATTGTTTCTCACAATAAGAAAAAAATAAGTGGCTATATTACATTTAAACATTTTAAACCATTCTGTTTGTTCTGTTATCAGATCAATCATGTGAAAAATTGGGATTTAGCGTCGGATATTGAAGAAATGTAAATAAGTCCGATCAACATCCACACGCCTTCAGGCTTCAGCTTGTTTTAAACATTTGACTCATTTTTCGTGCATGTATTTATTAATAATAATATTATGCACGAGGACGAGCAAAAACTTGGGCCCATACTTAGTTCTACCTTTATATATTTTCTCTTTTTTTAGATTGGTGATAATATTGATACCAGAAAAAGAATACGAAATACCAGTACCAGATGAATAGACCAAAACTTAAAGTTGAAACAGTAAGAAAAAAACTGAACGTGAAGCATACAGACTAGTACAAGTAGTAGTAGAATATTCTTTTTCGACATCAGTTAAGGCCCAAGTTTAAATTAAATACTACTGCTCTAACTAGACTGTTTGAAGTACTTCTCTAAATAATAATTGACCGCATAACGATATACCTGATATTTTCTTCTGTTGCAGTTTTGTATTTCCACTTTCATTTCTAAATGATTTCGACGATGGTCTAGACTCTGTGCCAGGATTAAAATTGAACTTTGCATCTTGAGCGTCTGTGAAACTATCTTCTCTTTCCTCGTGTTTCCTACAGCGTAGTAGGCCTACTCTCTTCAGTCCATAAGATGGGTGTACTTCTTCCCCGTTTTCCACCGGTGTCCACTCATACCGACCATCTGTTGGTGTTTCGGTTTTAAACTTAAAATTCCACCTTTGTTCGTCTTCTTGCTGTATCCTGCTCAGCTCTTCACGTACAAACCACAAGTTTTGCTCGTGATCAACGGGACCAAACAGAGCACGTCGAACTGTTGAATGTTGCGGATTGCAAAAGTTTGTCGAACGTTCAATGATTCCGGACATATTTATTGGTATCACTAGGTCTACTTGTCCCATGATCATCTCTAAAAATTAAAGTGTCTGAACACCTTTAATCGCAAGATCAATATTCTACACTTACAATGTTAAATAAATGCTAAATGATGAAAGAAAAGGTGAAAGAAGTAACTAAACTTTAAAACACAACCTTTTCCAGCAAAAAGCGCCCTTAGCGCGACGCTACTCAGCAGCCTTTGCAGTCGTTATTTTTATCACCCAATCATTGCTTTCCGAGTATAGCGTGGGTCAGAGAGGCGGGAAAACTTGGTGTCAGCTGATAATAGAGAGGTCTATAATTGGCTGAAACCCAGGCTGTCCGTTGAGAACGTATACTGTGTTTAAATCCACCCTTCAGACCTTAAACAGAAGGATATACAACTCTTAAATTTCATAAACATAAAAAAGGTGCGCTTCTATTAATTTCCGAGTTTAACTACTACATATATGTTTATATTATCAACAATTTTCCAATAGGGTTTTACAATGTCCCTATGTGGATATGTTAACAACGACTGGGTATTTACCCCAACAATACAAATAGATGCAAATCTAATGAAACCACAGACCAAACGTAAAAAGAAAGAAAAGAAAAACGTATTATAGATAAGCAGAAGGAAATTATCTTACGTTAATTAATATTTAATAGTGATAATTTTTCAGGAAAAATTGTTTAGATTCAATTCTTACGTATAAAAAAGAGGGCGCTGTGTTAAAATTTTGTTTGTTTTTGAATTTCGCGCTAACTCTTGGGCTACTCTTTTATCAACGAAAGTGGGATTGACCGTCATATTATAACGCCCTCATTGCTGAAAGAGCGAGCATGTTTGGTGTGACGGGGATTCGAACTCGCCATCCTCAGATTGCAAATCGAGCGCCCTAACCACCTGGCCATGCCTGGCCTGTGTTAAGCGTATCTTGTCTTTTATATATATGCATGTATGTATTGCATGAAATATCTACGGTAATTTTGTAATAGATAATTAATTATTTCGCTAATTCGTATATGAATTATACATGTAAGGCTATTACAAAATAAAAATGTTATTAAAAAATTAAATAGCTTTCATTATCGAAATATTAAAAAATCTATGAGTGAAAGTAAAGAGTAGTATATAAAAATATGTTCACCACTGTACCTGCTATATCCAGTGCTGACGAGGCATTCTGTCCTATACCGAGTCTCATCAGACCGGCTGAGATACGACGGGCATATTACTAGATGAGACGTTATTTATACCATCAAATTCCATGGAAAACAACTGTTGTGGTGAATCTCGGATAAATTAGTAAAGTGTAAGTTTTATGCATTTTATTTTTAAGTCATTTACAAACCAAAATTAGGGGAAGGATTAATAACAAGATACTATAAGTTATTAACAAATACAAACCCACATAAGCACTGGTTAATTCTTTGCAGTTCATGTTTTGTTTTATAGCTCCGAGTTTTCTTTTTAGGAAACGTTTATCAAAATGAAAATTTTCCCTATTGAAAAGCAATAAGCCATAGCAAAAGCGGAATGAAAAGTCGACTGAAGGATTGTAGTTTTTCTTTTTTTTTTTTTGATGATAGGCTTTGACGAAACTAACTTTTAGCGCTTGAATACACCGTTCTTGCCTAAAACTATACAAATCTTATTAATAGCCAAAGAAGTGGAAAACTAGAAATTTTCTTTTAGGAATGGCTGTGTAAATTCAGTTGCTATGTCATTTACCTAAATTATTTTTATTTTTCCAATAAAACCATACATACTTACGCTGTACCACAGAAAATTAAAATAGTCGTGGTGTCGTATCTAAAATGAACCGGTTTTATTTAAGAAGATTTATTAAAAATATTAAGTTACATATTTCGTCGTAACTTCACTGATTCTTAATTTTAGCAAGGAATTTATTGTTTAATGTTGTCACGAGATGGCACTAAATGCAAACAGGATTTTTTTTAAAACCATTTTCGAAAGTTCTTAGTAGTATTTTGACCTTGAAATGAATAATTTTTCAAAATTAATAAAATGTTTGTAATCTTAATACGTTGTAAGTATGCATGCTTATTGAGAATAAGCTTATTGTCTTTAAATTAAAATACTCATCGCTACTTAAAATATACATTATACGAGTTCCCTCGTGTATTATAAAATAAATACTATTCTTCTTTCATGTTCTTTGGTTTAAAACTGCTAATCAGCGAAAAGGGAGTAAAATACAATACATTATATTATATTATATACAATATATTATATTATGTCAGGGTCCTAATATGAAATTCAATAATATTCCAGTCCCTAGAGTTGCTAAGGCAACTAATATCAACTAGTCTAGTATGGGCTTACTGTAAATGTTATTTTAATAATTTATTTTTCAGATTAAAAATTGATGTTAATAACATAGAACTCAAATATTTACCGAAACCACGAGGTTACAGATGCAAATACTGTATGTATGTGTATATATATATGCTCCGATACCTACTCTAATAATTTGGAAGTGAACATAAAGAAGAATGTATAACAATATGCCAGTCACGCTGTAGTCGCTATAAACACATACAACAGTTATGATGTGAATTAGTTGGTGAAGTATTATCTTATATGAGTCATTTCCAACTCAGAATAAGTGAAAGGATGAATAATTGGCAAATGATTATTAATCATAGCATAGTAGGTTTTTATCGTTTGTATGATTTAATAAACATCTTAATTACAAACTCACAAATCTACAAGTAGAACTGCTCAGTGTAAAAAGAGTAAAAAACAATACACCAACAAAGAAGCCGAAACTTCATACACCTCCATATGCGAAACAGGTATTACCAATTGAAAACCTCAGTTGTTCTTTATATATATATATCTGCCCCCCCCAGTGGCACAGCGGTATGTCTATGGACTTACAACGCTAGAAACTGGGTTTCGATACCCGTGGTGAGCAGAGCACTGATAGCCCATTGTGTAGCTTTGTGCTTAATTACAAATAAGCAATATATATATCTGTCTAAGCTTTCAATACGATGATGTATTTATTTACAGTGCAAGAGACGCTGTTATGATTGTCAGAGAATGCATGATATACAATATAAACCTTGTAAGTCGCCTTTCACACTCTTAATTGTAATGGCGTTACAGAATAATTACTTGGTTTGGATTAAAATTCACCTCACAGAGTATCATATAACGATTGGATAACTCTTCTGATATTTATATGATTTATCTTAAATAGCACGTAGAAAAGGCATAACTTTGGTTTCATAGATATTAAGAGGGGTGGTATGGTAGTTACTGTGTGTTATGCAAGAGCATATATTTTAGCCTGTAATGATAGGTATACTATAGTTACTGAAATGTGAAGGGGATGCATTCCTCCCCATCCTCCATGTAAATTGCATCTATACATGTGATTTTTAATAAAGGGCCAGAGAAAGATACTAAGTAAACAGAAACTCGTGAATAATAAAACGACAGACAATTCGTCGTTTAGAACACGTTTAAATTTACTCAAAAAAAACAAAACGCAAATATAAGGAATATTTTTGATAATGTAAAAGACGACACAATGCTCTTCCGAATTACTCTAGTCTGTTGGTACTAACAGAGTGGGGGCGGAGTAGAGCAGACTGGTCACGTGGTCGGTCGCGCCACCCTACCATGACTGGCACGCGCCATATGGTCCAAGCAAATCACTGTTTTCTGCCACTGCCAGACGCGCTCAGGTCAAATGAAAACCATCGACCTCGAAGAACAGACGAACGCATTTCTCGGTAAAATAACAAAAATTAATCGGACGTACAAATATGATGACATAGTTTACTTCGTTCGTAAAACAGCTAAATTAGAACAAATACATCGTTCTTTATAAAGATAAAACCTCATATTGAGTCGAAAATCGCGTTAAATATAAATCATAAGCATGACAGGATAAACCATTGTCAACATATAAACTATGCATTTTTTTTTAAAACAAAAGACTTGAAAAATAGCATTAAAAAACAACTTAAATAGAAAAGACCTCTTCACGTACACGTACAATTTTGAGTTCTAACATATTAACGTGATCTAACAACGAAGTTATTGTTCAATATACCTAGTTCCAAGATGCTTTTTTACTATTTCTTAAAATTCTAATAATATTTAAACCGCTCCTACATACAATTAACATAGCTTGCTATTACCTGGATCTATGATCTCTAATCTTTTTTTCTTGTTTTCCTCTTACAGAGTGGCTGGTTCTGTCTCATCATTCTCATAGTCAAAATTCAATATAATCGGTCGTAATTTCAAGATTTTTACAAATTTTTGTTAAAAAAAACTTTTCGTAATAAGCGAAAAGCCATTTCGTCTTTTACCATCGTAACCTTTGATTTTTAATACGTCTTTATCAAATTCCTAATCTCAATGTCATGTGAAAAATATAGGTGACTCATATAATAACATCTAGCATAAGCGTCTGTCTTTATGTTTTAAGTGCGTGACTGACTCGCTTTTAAAGTTAAAAAGCGTACATCTGATGTTTCCATGCTGGACACCAGCGCAACCATAAATATCCAAGAAGAGCCTCACCCAAGTCCCTTATTTATCCTTTTTGCCCCAAGCCAAGCCTTTTTTTATTTTATTTTCAGATTGAACGATTATATACGCATATACGTTTGCGAAACGCGTGCTAATCGGTGTCCACGCACTCAAGGTATTTACTTATGGCTGCTTGCCAAGCTCCACCTGCCACGCTCCGCGCGCAAGTCGCCCTGCTGACACAACATATAAAACTGTAGATCAGGGGATCACTGAACTGACGTACAGGTGGATACACAGTAATACTTGTCATTTGAAGAGCGCAGGTGGCCACAGGTTGATTTCTGACAACGGAAAATTGGTCATTTTTGAAACGAAACAAGGCATGTTTTGGTTACACTATTTTATCTATGCTGATGGCAGAGAAATAATAGAGAAAAGAATGAAAATAAATAGGCCTAGCAAAAATATAAGAATCTCAGAATGTTAAACGAAAGAATATACGTACAAATTTATAAATATAACACTGGTGTAATAATAGGAACGATCCACGTGAACCTGATCGACATGTTTATTTTGTTCAATATACTTATGACACTGGTGTTACGATTGAAAGGATTTGTATGAGTCTGAGCAGAGTAGTTATTTTCTTCAATACGTTTATACAGTGCTGTTATAATGGAAAAGGTTCGTGTAAATCCC